TAGGCAAAATGTTAACTAACAGTAGTGATTCATGTTTGAACTTGTCTACACAAGCTAACGGTTCCATTAACTGCCCCGTAAACTTAAATTTAAAGGAAAGCTGGCAACTTAAAGCCAAAAAAGTAACAATCATTTTAAATTTGACAAATAGGTTTTCTGAGCAGAGTTTAAAGACTTGAAAAACTTGTTGTTTTATGTTAGAATTGCATAAGATGATTTACTGAGGATAACCTAGTCATCTCTAACCTGAGAGATTGACGATAATCCCATAGAAATGAGACATTTAGGTAGATAGACGTATAGGAAAAAGTCAAACTTTTGCACAGTTTAAATGAAATATTTGAGCCCACATAAAAACATGCCAGATTTTTCCCACAAAGTTTATTCAGTTCATGTGGCCGTAGCGTTTTCAGTGGGAGAAACGTTTCGGTACTCGTTCAAGTGTGACTTAATCTGTCTCGGACTGTAGTCACTGGATGCATGATGAACGTCTCTCCCACTGAAAACGTTACGTCCACATGAACTGAATCAACCTTTTGGGATTTATGTAGCTGGATGATTGTGCATGCATCAAGACCTGCCAGATTTACATGCGTGTGTAAACGTAGAGATGTAAAACTGTGTATATTTAGATGTGATTTTAAAGCAAACAAAGTCTCCGTCTAGTGATGGGGTTGTAAAGTCAACTAACAGGCCTTTTTTAGCTAGCCATGTCCTCTATTAACCAGCTGCTTGTCAGCATTTGATGTATTCACCAACTCTGACCCCAATCAGGCTGCTTAACCTTGAAGAAAGGATTCAGCTGTGTCTTGTTCACTTGGTTCCTCGGATCCGTAACAAACTTGGACATTTCTTACCTCAGTAAAAGAAGCCACAGCCAGATATACAAAGACACAGTGTTCGTGTACGAGGCACTGCAATGCTCTGAGTACTTCAGATTCTTCAGTATGTTACAGACTGCTGGTGCTGTTGCAATCTATTACTTTTTTTTTTTTTTGTTAAATAAAGCACACTTACATTTTTCTTCTTATGATAGATTTTATTTTATTTTCAATTATATTTTTTGTGATATATATATATATATGTAAGAGCGTCATCAAGGCAATATCAAAGGAAATGGAAAACATAAGACCATCATGGTGGTGCATACTAATGCATGCTTGCCTGCTGTGGTGTGCGATTGTTTAATTATTTATAATTACTGATGTTGGTGCATGAAAACTCAACATTGAGGGACTCTGGGATATGGTTTGCAGGTCTAGACTGTGCTTAAAATTTTAAAGGGGTTAAATTAGTTCAAGCTATTTTTTTCCTTTAATCTGTGTATCTCAGAGAGGTGACGTTCATAGATATTTCTGTCACACACACATTATTTTTTAAAGAACAGACTGGGCTAAAAATCACAAGCGCTGTTTACTACAGGTGACCAACCTTTGCTTGGTTGTTGCAAGACTGGATCTACCTGCTGGCAGCTGTCAGTCATATCTGAGTATGAACTCATTTGACTATCAAAAAAAGTAGGGTAGTTGAAATGCTCTGATTTTCAATGTTTGCATCACCTCTACATTCATAATTTTCGGCAAACATCAGAAACATGGGCAGTTTTTGACTCTTTCACTTGATGTGACTGTTTATGGAAGCTTTTTCTGCCTGTGGGAATGTTTTTATTTTCATGGGACTGGAAAAAGATAGATAAAAATTTGCCATCCGTAGGACAAATTTTTCAAGCCCCCTCCCCCAAAGAAATTTTGAGATACAGTACTTATTTAGTATTTCAAATTAGTAAGCCTCAGACTAACCTGAGCTTTGCTCCTTACTCTAATTTTGAGATATTAAGTCAAAATTTAGAGATAATAACTTTATTCGTGGATGCCAATTTAGATTTTTTTTCTGTTTCTTCAAACAAACTTTCATTGACTTTCTTACACCAATCAAAAGTGTAATACAAGTAACAGGTGTACAGAGGTCCCTCGTTTATGTTCTAAAACTAACCTGCGATAAGTGAAATCTGCGAAGTAGCCACCTTTATTTTTTTTACAATTATTATAGATGTTTTAAGGCTGTAAAAACCCCTCACTACACACTTTGTATACTTTTCTCAGACAGGCATGAACATTTTCACACTTTTCTCTCTTGTTTAAACACCCTCAAAGTTCAAATCTTAGTAGAAAAATATTTCCAGTATCATAGAATAAAACCAAAGATCAAACCTTGTTTTCAGGTCCAGAACATGGGAATAGAGCAGCTGCCACAGAATTCAACATTAATGAATCAATGGTACGGAAGCAGAGGAAGCAAGAAGAATGAGTTGAGTAAAGTTTGACTTATCTTGCTTCGCTTAATGTGCCTTATGGTCCGAAAAATACGGTAACTTCTACCTTCCTTTAGCATGTCCAGAAGTCCGATCATTTCTGCGATGGTTAGCATCTTCCTCTGCCTTTGACGGTGCTAAACGTTTCGTCAACATTGTTGTGTTTGTTGGGGAGAAAACTTACAAGCATAAAGTACAGCACTTCAGAGTTACACTGCTAGCGATCGAAGATTTATTTAAATTTGACAAGCTGGAGACATGGCATGGAGGAGATTGATTGACAATGGTCTACAGCCGATCAGGATGCGGGACACAATGCGCTGTAAACAAAAACAAAACAAAAAGCATGCAAAAATAAAATATGCGAAACAGCGAGGCCGCGAAAAAGTGGCCTCGCTTATTTTAGCAGTCTTTGAAACTGAGCTAACCCATCAGTTGTTATCTTAAAACTGTTGATAAGTGGGAGCATTTTGCATTTTGAGTAGCGTGACCCTGTTGACCTAAAGAGAATCTCCAAAATGTTTAAACTGCTATTAGATAGTCAGACTTCACTATTTTATGTGTATGCATGTTTGTGTCTGTTGTTCTGGCTGCTTGACAGATATTTTTCACAGTCTTGCATTTCTGGATTTCTCACTGGGAGCAATCACATCCTGCAAGTCCAAAGGTCACACCTCTGCTGCCCCCAGTAGCAGCATTAAATCGGACAGACACGCTGGTGTTGAAGTGACGAGAATGTTAAATATTCTCATTGTTTTCTGCAAAAATTGATCTTAAATGTCACACCTGTTGTGTGCGAAATGCTATTCGGGTTCTGTAAATGACAATTTTATTACTGACATTTTTAAAACTGAGAGTTTAGGAAGATGCCATTGACATGTTTTGAAGACAGAACATGTCAGTGGCAGCAATCTGGTGCGCTAATGCTGAACCTGCATGGATAATGACATACAAGAAGGGCAGTTGGGTGCTGTTAAAGCTCCGCCGGTTGAGTAGGCGACACAAATGCCAAAGGCTACTGCCGGAGCCTCGTGCAGGTCAGACCATTTCCTGTGTGACACATCCCCCTCTCACTCTCTCCCTGTTTCCTGCCTGTTCCTTGTACTAACCTCTCAAAATAAAGGCCAAAAAAAGGGGAAAAAAACCCAAAAAAGTTCAATATCCAGGGGTTTGAATCCACAAGAGCTCTAAAATATTACTGACAGCATTATTTATAATGCTGTCAGTAAGCTACACAAAACACTCAGAAAAAAATGGTTTTAAAATTGTTTTGATTGCGTAAATCAACCTGTAATACATCCTCTGACCTGCAATGCCAAATTGAAAATCTTCTGACATCTAACGACAGGCCAATTAATGGGAACTCTTTAAATTTACTGTTTTTCAGATACAAAAAGTATTGATTATCGGCCCTGCTGGGAATCTCATCTCTCTCCACACACACTCCTTTTACAAGCAGCCTTTTATTTGACAAGCCTAATCTTTCTCAACACAAGAAGTGACAATAAGCAGGCACAGAGGCCTAATTAAAGGGACTTTCATTCAAATTAACACACACTCTCTCCCACACAAACCTCTGATGACCCATTAGCTGCACAATGGTTAGGACAATGCTTCTCTATCACACACACACACAAATACACACAGTGTTCTGCAGGGGGAGAGCGGTAAAGCTGGATTTAGATTTAGGAATGCAATAAAAGTGCAGATGGGGGTGGGGCTAACCAGCTGCTTGTCAGTAGGGTGGGGTTGGGGGGGAGATACCTTCACAATCTCTAGATAAGACAAGTTGCATATAATGGGATCTCTCAGGGCACTTTCATCTATCCATATCTTCGACTGCGACCCCCATGAAGCTGCGCAGTTTACAAGCAGATTCATCACTTATCTCTTGAAGCTCTTATCCGAGGTTGTCGTCCCTCCTCTCCAACCCTTTTATCGGAATCTGACCCCGGGCTTTTAGCGTGGCAAGGGGCGTGAAAGTCAGCTTGACCTCTCGGGGTAACCTCCGACACAAAACACCGTGTGCAGCAACAAAGCGCTGAAAACAGAGGACCTCTGAGAAATGAGCAGTGACCATAAAATGGTAACCTCTATTTTCTAGCACAATAAAAGTGTTCTCGGGAGAACTGCTCGCATGTACGCGGGATCAAAGAGCACCGTTCGCGGCGCAGTGCGCTTTTGCGCCGGGAACTAAAGTTCACCTCGATGCTACCTCGCTTGGCTTCTTAAAAAAATAAAGTTTACTGTGATATGAAAGCATGAATCTGAGGGTGCTCTTAAAGACAAAGGCGAAGCAGGAGATTGGCTTGCATGTGTTTGTTGTGGGGCTTCTGGGTAATCTGGTTTTGTCGGGATGGTTTTTGAGGCCTCGGGGTCATGCTCTCTGCATCTCTGAAGACAGACATCCTCCACATTCTTCCTGTGTGTGTGTTTGTGTGCGCACGCTGCCCTACACAGCCCACTCTCTTTGCTCTTTGACTCCAATGGCCATATAAGGCAGCCAGCACCATGGTAACCACAGGGCTTGAATAGCAGTGTCAAATCCCCGGGAGCGCACACACACACACACACACACACACACACACACACACACACACACACACAGCCCCCTCCCCCTCTGCATACACTCCTGCTCCCCTCCCTCCTTCTCTCTCTCTCCGGCTTTGCTTGATCTCTCTTTCTCAAACACACACACAGACACACACACACACACAGACACACACACACACACACAGACACATACAAATACGTTGGAGGAAAACAGACAACAGGAAAGAGGGTCGAGGAGAGAGAGAGACAGAAGGTGGGGGGAAAAAAGCAAATGCTGAGAATTTCAGTCTGTGTGTCGAGCTCAGCCATTTCCTTGAATCATAATCTGATTTGTGGACTGTGAAGCCGGAGAGGGAGAGACAGAGGGGTGAGAGGAGCACCCATCTCTCCAACCCCCTCCTTCTGATCGCCTGAGCCATAGGGAAAAGCTTCTCACACACACACAGAGGCGAAAAGCAGCACACAGGGGCTAGGCCGCAAGTCATTAGTTCTTGGTGGACAAGCACTGACAAAAGGCTGGAGGGAGAAGGCTGCACAAGCGCCTGGAGAGCGACCGCAGGAACTATGGAGGGCTGAGCACACGGACACCCTCTTGTACACTCTCTTGTTTTTCTGGGTTTTCTCTGTGGAAGCAGGAAGCACAGAGGCTTGTGTCACAACTGAAGCTACAACAAGCTACAACAAGCAAGGAAGAGAGATCACTTCCTTGTGCCGGGGATCTGCTGGTGTGTATTTTGGAAGTGAGTGCAGGCAGTCCACGTCGCCAGGTCTGCTGCCACCGCTGCTGCTTATGCAGCTGCCCCCAACATCGCACTGAGGACCGCCGTGACCACCTGAAAATGTTGCAGCTGCTGCGTGGACATTAACTTGGTTTGCTCAGTGTGGAATGTCTCCATCACGGGTCACAATGCTACTGCTGCTGCTGAGAGGATTACAGCAGGGAGAGAAGAGTTGCCTGCCTTCTCAGGAAGATCTCTAGAGCGACGAGAGGATTTCTTTTTCAGCGAGGGGAGCCACAGACACCACATTACTGTTTGCTCTAAGGTAAGCTTGACATTTTCTCTCAAAGGACTCTACATACACAGAATAGCTGCTACTAGCAAGGGCAAATTCAGCGTTAGGGGTACTTTAAGAGGGGCGGTCAAATGCTCTCCAGGCATGTGCTGAGGCGAGCTATGCTGAGGTCCTTTTTCAGCCATTACTGTTGCTACAGAGACAGGGCTGTACGTGTGTGAGAGGACAAGAGCATGCAGAGCAGCGCGAGACAGGATTCTGCACCTCGTGCCGTTCGCTTGCAAATGATTTTGTGTTTTGCTCTAATTTTGGAGGGTGTGCGCTTAATGTGTGTTTCCTGTGTAAGGTTCCTCGGCTGAGACTATTTGCCTGGGCAGTGCTCGTTGCCCTTAACCATCTCAGGAACTGGTCTGAAGAAGAGGACGAAAACACCAGGCAGGGGCTACGAGCTGGATAAAGAGAGAGAGCGAGAGAGAAAAGAGCAGAGCAAGACACTGAAATCTACATGCATGCAAAACTAAAAGTTGCCACACTGAGACTGTTTCCAGGTCATAGTGGAGTGGGAGGAGACTGATCGCTCTTGTTTTTATTTTGTTCTCCTGCCAAACACACTTCTACTCAAAGGCTTAGAGCCCCCTCCTTTTTTTAAACCCCCTCTCATTGACATCTGCCATCAACCCCGAGGATTGTTTTTCTTTCTGTTCTTTGGTATAATAACCCAGAGACTTCATAAACAACTGAGAGAGGGAGAGGTGGGGGAAAACACACGCAGACACAGTCTGGACTTTTTGATATTTATGTTACCTTGACAGCAACCAGAAATCTTGGCTGCCTGTCCCATTTTCCTCTGCGGTGGTTCGGTAACCAAGCGATGGCCATGGTGAGTGGGGGCTGGGGAGATCCCAATGGGGGCACTAACGGGCTGGGGGACAAGGGCTACCTGAGGGGGGAGGAGGAAGACGGCTCTCCCCAGGCGGGAGGCAGCGACATGGAAGCCGGAGAAGATGACAAGGCCTGCGTGGTGGACTGCGTGGTGTGCGGGGACAAATCCAGCGGGAAACACTACGGAGTGTTCACCTGCGAGGGCTGCAAGAGCTTCTTCAAGAGGAGCGTCAGGCGCAACCTCAGCTACACCTGCAGGTGAGGCATTGTGGGTAATTGTTATTTTTGTGATTTATTGACGGGCTGAGCTCGCACAGCGTTGAGAAACCCGCTTAATACAGGATACTGGAAGTTGAAAGAGGAAATGAGACTAGTTATCGTTAAAAATACGTCCATGTGTTTTTGTTTCTTTTTAAAAAAAAAAATTGTAGCCTAAATGAAATATTTAAAAATAGTTATTATTGACAAATATAAACTTCCTAAATGTGAGGACTCGCTGCATTTCTTTGTCTTGTTGTACTGGATGTACTATAAGTGGCACAAAACAAACTGCTTTCATGTGGGAAGAACATTTTCTCTATTATCTGTTTTTTTCTGACTAAACGATTCCCCCAAAAATAACAGAAACGTTACTAATCAAATCAGCTATTATTTGTAGCTAATATTTATTATATGTGTTCACTAGATCGCCATTTCCATACAATTTTGAAACTAGTGATTATTTTCTTTTTTTTTTTAAATCAATCTAAAAAACTATCCGTGCTCTTCAGCTTGCATGCTTTGCCACGCCAAGATATTCTCACTTCAGATTATTTCTGTTCACTTCTGATCAAAAAAGTGTCTGAATCCAATAATTAATTACAATTATTTTTTTTATTTATTTGCTGTTCATTTGACTTATTTAGCCCATGATAACATTTTTAGCCAATTTTACTTGAATAATAATGAAAGCGTCTGTTGTGCACAGCAGACAGCTACATACAGTTAAGCTATATGACTGAACCATGTAGCCATCAGCTCTCTGGGCGTCATCGTGTTGTGCGCAGCCTCGTGGAAAATCTAGTTTCATAATGCAATATTAATGTTGAGTAGCTCTGTTAAAAGGAAGTGCTGGCATCAGGCTGTTGACACTAATCTGCAAACAGCTTTTATGCTCATCAGATTTTTTGTTTGTTCTTTTTGAGAGGAAGATAATGGCTGCACATCAGAGCAGAGCAGCTTTTCCACTCGCAGTTTATGGGGTTTGTTCTTACATTTGTCATCAGGTTTGGCCGCTTTTGATCACACGTCACACAAACTGACGCCCGCAGTAAAGCTGACCGTTATTAACTGTATTACAGGACAGTGTGGTCGGTGTATTTTAATACATGTAAATGCAGTATGTAAGAGGTGTGATGTGAGGCAAATGTTTATTAACTTTACACATCTGTAATGCTGCTCTGCTGCATGTGCTGCAGAATTGTTTGCGATGACATGAGGCCATCTTCATTTTTCCAGACAATCAAATATTTAATGACTTATTATTCATTAATTTACTTTTTTTTTGGCGGGTTTATTCTCAGATCAAATAGAGAGTGTCAGATCGACCAGCACCACAGGAACCAGTGCCAGTACTGTCGCCTGAAGAAGTGCTTTCGTGTTGGCATGCGCAAAGAAGGTAACTATCCTGTTCCCCAAATTATTTTACCATCCATTCACTTTTTCTGGCAAGAATAAGAAACACTGTGGCAAATGCTGTGATTGTAATTGCACAATAGTGGAAATGGTTCAGCTGAATGAATAAAAGAGGCTACTTTCAGCTGCTCTTGTATTTATAAGGGGTCGCCACAGTGGGTAGCTCTGCTTATTTAATTTATATGTTGGATACCCTTCCCTACGTAAACCCCAAAGAACCGGGGATCTTCTGCTTGTTAGGCAAATGTGTAAACCACTACACTATAAAAAAAGGGGGAATAAGTGACATTCAGCACTAAGCATCAGAGTCTTCTCGTTATTTCCATCAGATACTTTTTTAAAAAAAAGAATAAAAACCCATTAAAGTATAGTAGTAATTATCTGCTAGTGTGATCTTGCCTTTTCTGTGCTCTGTAGTGCAGAGAATGCCACACATGGTTCTCTAGGTCCTATCATGGCATAGCAAGCCATGCGTGTCAGCTCAATGCCATGTACTAAGTGGCTTAATCTAGTGCCTGCGTAACAGTGAGTGAGAGGGATACAGGGCTAAGACACCTGCGTCCCAGAGGCTTAAACCTCTGGTTGAAGCTACAGAAACCCTCTGACTTGTTGGCTCAATCAAGAAGAATCCAATATGGGAACTTCACCCTAAGTGGAGGATCAGGCGAGGCCATCAGTAAATGTCACTCTGACAGATACACAACAACAAACAAATAAATAAATAGTTGTATACAAACACATTTGTTAGGCCTTTTAAAACTGACATCAACATTTAGGAGATTCTAAGCACAGACATCCTCCCTCAGTGTCCCTTCAGTTGGTTTATTCCTTGCAATCACAGATCACAAAGTACACTAACTACACACATTATGAGTCCCTATAGACAACGAGAGAGATTCCCTTTGCTCCACTACCTTGACTGAGAGGTCAGAGGTCAGAGTCAGCTAGTGAGCTGCATTCCTACTGTATGTGTGAATTGGGCATATTGATCAAGGACGCTTGAAAAGGGCAGATGCTCATACCAGGAATTAATATCCCCAAATTTAGAGATCTCTACTGGTTACTGCCCTGCTTTGAGTTGAGTTTGATTGTGCATGCTTTCAATGCTGGAGAATAGCTTCCTAATTGAGTCAGGCCTGGTAATCAGAAATGCACTGCTGGCTGAATTCAGTTTTAACTTTTCTTCTCTTTGGTCTTCTCAACCAAATCCCCTCCATCACCTCCCCTTGTCTTTTGCAATTTTCTATTCTGCCCTTTTCTTCTCCAAACCCTTTCCTTTCCTCTCCTCTCCTCCCCTTTGTCCCCCAACCAAAATACAGCAGTTCAACGCGGTCGCATCCCACCTCAGCCGAGCCTCAGCCCCTCCATCACACCCATAGGTGGCGCCAGTGGCCTTGGAGGCGGCGAGTTCTATAACAACAACAATGGAGGTAGTGGTGGTGGTCAGCCAGTGTCTGAACTTATTTCCCAGCTGCTGAGAGCCGAGCCTTACCCCAACAGTCGCTACGGACACCAGTACAACCAGCAGGCCGGTCCTGATAACGCTATGGGAATAGATAATATCTGTGAACTGGCTGCGCGGTTACTCTTCAGCACAGTGGAGTGGGCGAGGAACATCCCTTATTTCCCTGAGCTGCCTGTGTCCGACCAGGTTAGAGGATTATTTCTAATTAAAAGCCACATATACAGTTTTGACTTTGAAAGACTCTTCCCTCTTTATCAGATTATATTGCAGGAACTGTAAAAGATAAGCAGAATGAACTGAGTAGACATTAAAGTGTTGAGGGGGGGGTGTCACTGATTGAGACACTACTAAATCCTCAGGTGGCCCTGCTGAGACTGAGCTGGAGCGAGCTGTTCATCCTCAGCGCGGCGCAGTCTGCCCTGCCGCTCCACATGGCACCCCTGTTGGCTGCAGCTGGTTTCCACTCCTCGCCCATGTCTGCGGAGCGCGTGGTGTCCTTCATGGATCAGGTGAGGGTGTTCCAGGACCAGGTGGACAAGCTGACCAGGCTACAGGTGGACTCTGCTGAGTACAGCTGTCTCAAGGCCATCGCGCTGTTCTCGCCAGGTGATTAGTGATTCGAGTGGCTAGTAAGAGCAGAAAACGTCTTGCTTGTTGACTTCACCTGCTGTCATTTAGCACAGCTAGATCAACAAAAGAATGGTACAAATCCTCACAGTTACATGGTGCCTGG